GACAGGGAGGGCAACAAGCTTCTGCTTCTAGAAAGTGCAGTTTAGATTCACCTCAAAGAGCAACCACTGGTCGGGGGCGAGAAGTAATAAAACTCTACCATGTATATATAACAGAAATAAGGAAAGCCAATAGAGCAACTGCACAAAACGTGTGTAAAGCAAAAGCAAGAATCAGAGTTGGACCAAAACTAGCCTTGAGACCCTTTAGAATTAGGATTTTCAAAGAAATGTTATTCCAAGGACTCCACGGTAACAGTGGGAAACTGAGATGTGCAATCCGCTTACGTGTCAACTTCCTCTGTCATGTGGGAAACACAGGCAGAAGAGAAATTATTAAATTTCCTTACTCCCTGCAGCCCACTGACAAGACCTTGAAACAGGCAGAGTGACATTCCTCTAGGGACTCAACTGCCTCGATGTTGACACTTTGCTAAGGGCAAAAGGCAATCCTGGCCTGATCCCACCCCCACCCCCAACCAGGACCCTGTAAGTCTACTTTAACATGTAAGAATTCCTTTGGAAACTTCCTTTATCTCTACCCCCCAAGATACATGTTGGCAGCATCCCCCAAGCATATGGCCCACCGATACACATCTGAAGGGTCTCATGGCTGAGTTTTTACTAAATGGTAATAAATGACCTTTTCCTAGTAATAGCTAGTGCCCTCATGATCCTAGAAACCTTGTTTCCAAAATTCCTGGGAGACTTACACTGTCCCTAACCCCCTCCCAACTTTAAAGTATACAATGGGCCACTCCTCATGACCCCAGCGCAGCTCTTTCTGCCCACGGGTCCTGTCCCCGTGCTTTAATAAAACGACTTTTTTGCACCAAAGACATCTCAAGAATTCCTTACTGGCCGTCGGCTTTGAACCCTAGCGTCTTTCCTACACCACTCTGCTCCCACAGTACTCAGCACCCCTCTGGAGACCCTACATCCGCCACTTGTGGACACTCAGCGGACCAGGGCAGTCACAGCAGCACAGTCCACGGGGCCTGGGAGGGGCCCATCTTCTCTAACAGACCCTTGTTTAGCTTCATGAAGTGGCTTCTCTGGCAGGCTCCAGCGAAGCTGGGGAGGCTTGATGGGGCAGGGGTCCCTGAATGGAGCACATTTGGGACCCACTTGGGGTGTTCAGACACACAGGAACCTAGAGGCAGCAGACTGGGCAGGGTCAGAGAAGCTGTCCAGAACTAGGGCAGGAGTCCTGAGAATTAATGAGCCCAGAGTCCCCCGAGAATGAGGAAGGGACTCTCACGTAGACACGCCATTAAATAACAAGGACCCAGAGTAAGATGGCAAGGCAGCAGGGATTCTGAAAGTTTCCAGAGGAAAACACAGGTCACTGTGATACCACCACATAAGAAGAAACATTTATGTGCTCCTCGTCCCGGCTCCTGGGAATTTCCTGAGTGTTGGGGCTGAGAGGAGCATCTGCTGTGGTTCATAACAAGCCCCTTTCAGCCTTACCTGGGTTCACACCAACTAGGTGACTCTTGGAGCTCGGGGGTTGGTAGCCAGGGGACCCGACGTGTGATTAGAAGGCTGGAGACCAAGCCCATCACCAATGATGAATGATCTCATCAACCACGCCTGTGTAACGGGGCCTCCCTAAAAACCGAAAATGAAGGGGTTCTGGAGCCTCTGGGCACATGGAGGTGCCAGGAGGGGGAGGGTGGCGCTCCCAGGCAGGAGGCAGGGCCTGGAAGCTCCATGCTTCTTCCCCACCCTCACAACCCCCCCACCCGCCCTGTGGGTGACTTCCATCTGCTCTTCCTGAGTTATAGCCTTGATGATGAACCAGTAACTGAAGTAAGGTGTTTCCCTGAGTTCTGTGAGCCATTCTAACAAATTATGACGCTTGAGAAGGGGGTCGTGAGAGCCCTGACTTACAGCTGGTGACAGCCTGGATGTGTGAGTGGCATCTGAAGAGGGGGCGGTCTTGTGGGACGGGGCCCTCAGCCTGGTGGGGGGTGGTCTGCACTCATGCCAGGCAGATAGTGTCAGAACTGCTTGTGAGGAAACCCCCCCCACATGTGGTGTCAGAGTGTGTCAGTAGAAAAACGAAAGCTTTGGGGCACCTGGGTGGCTCAGCTGGCCAAGCGTTTGCCTTCGGTTCACATCATGATTCTGGGATGAGCCCCTCATCAGGCTCCCTGCTCAGCGGGGAGTCTGCTTCTCCCTCTGCCCCTCACCACACTCGTGCTTTCACTCTCAAATAAATAAATGAAATCTTAAAAAAAGAAAAAGGAAAAAAAATGAAAGTGTTTCTGTTTAGGCATCTGGGGAAGAGCAGGGGTCAGGCTGTGTGAAGACCTCATCATCAACCCAAAAAGTTCTGAGAAAACCTGCTTTGAATGAGAATGGAAGACCCAGGCAATTCAGCAATTCCCATGAGGGCAAGAAAAACACAGAAAGTTCACCTCCAAATTCTTTCTTGAAAAGTTGTTTGGGGATTAACCCCAGCAAAAAGAGAGAATAAAAAAATAAAAGAAAAAAGGACAGCAAGTGAGATCTGAAGAACTGTGAACACAACCCAGAGAGAGTCAGGGGGCCTCTCAGGTGGGCCATCTGTGTCCTGAGTGTCCACACCAAGAAGCTGGGAGTGGGGAGTGGGGAGGGAAGGGGGACACAGGTGGAAAAGTATCCCATGGGGACAAAGAGTAATGATAAAGACTGCAACAAGTCAAGGAAATTTTATGAAGCAGGAGATGCCCCTAGAAGATGGAGAATAGAAGTATAAATAGAACACTGTCAGGCTGCAAGCTCACAGGTGGATGAACAGGCACACTAAAGACAGTGTTGTAAGAACTCTCTTAAATGTGCAGAGAATGAAGCACAGGGCAGGGGTTCCTTATTCAGCCTTGTGGTGGGGTCAGGAGTCCACAAGGGCAACTATAAAATTCAACATCAAGTGAAACGTGTGTACAGCCCCTATGGCATCCTGAAAAACCCTGGGACTTCAGAAAGAAACTCTGAGGTAGCTCATGCTACCAGAAAGCTCCAGAACCTTCTAGAAAGAGACCAATGCAAAATGGGCACCCACTTGCCCGGGGCCAGCTGTCAGAGAACCTCGTCCCTGGAAGATGGGAAACCAGTTCCCTCATACAGCTGAAAAACACTGATTCTACCCCAAATATAAAGATAGGAAAAAAATGTCTCAGAGCAACTGGTTCTGTACTCAACACAGGGCTCAAAATGTCCGCTTGACCCAGCAGCTCAGAACTGTCTCCTTGGGACTGGAACAGGGAATCCCCGCGGAGGGAGATCGGGGGCAGGCCGCCTCACCAGAAAGCCTGTGGCGGGTGTTAGCGAACTGCCAGCGCTACAGGTTCTCCTGGTAGCAGTCTACCAAAGCCCCCTCCTTGGGGAACCCTGTCTGCGCTCCATCTTTTGCTAAGTGACAGCTCAAACATTCAGAATGACTATTTAAAACTGTGGAGGATAGAGCAGCGCTGGCAAGAATTACAGTAACAAAAGAGAGGGCAGCATTGCGGAAAGCCCACACTGCGGACCCCACGGTCCACCGATTCGCTCCAGAAAGCCTGGTCTCCACTGTGCGCCAGAAGACGCCCAAGCCAGCCTCGCCCTCCTAGGTGCACCCCACTGTTCAGGGTTTCTGGAAGGACACTGCTGCTTCCTCGCAAGAGGAAGAGCTGTAGAACTGAAGCTGAGATGTTCAGTGACCCCGGCACGGTCAAGACCGGCAACGCCAGGGACCAGCACCCTCTGGATCCCTCTAGTCAGAGACCACAGGCTTGTCTCAGCCTGGTCCCCAGGTTGGTTTGAGAATCTGAGTTTGTGCTCCACTGCCGTAGACTTCCCCCACTGGTTCTTGCACCCTTGTGGGTGCAGGGGCTGGGGCGGGGAGGTGGGTTCGGGGCCTGCAGGCCTCAACCTCTGTGGCCCAGGGCTGCTGTGGGCTCTGCACGGCTGAGGGCCTAGTGGCTCCCGGCCTGGTCAGGTGAAGGCTGAGGCTCAAGCTTCACCAGCTCCTGAAGTCTCCACGGTGCCAAGAAGGCTGCTCCGAAGCCTCCGGAGCAGAAGTAAGGCCTGGGGCCCAGCTCCGCCTCTACTCACAGGCTCCCTGGCTGCGCAAGGGGCTGCCCGTGGCCTAGGTGCAGCTTGTGAGTGCGGCGCGCCGGTGGCTAACGGACAGGGCTCTGTGGACAGGAACTCTGCAGCTGCGTCCCCTGGTCGGTCGATCTCCTGGGAGATGACCCCCCGCCCCCCCCCCAGTTTCCCAGCCCAGGCCAACTGGGGAACCTGGCTCTGGGAAGTACAGAAGTCAGGGCAGGGGGCAGGTGAAGTCACCTTCGAGCACCTTCAGCTCCCCCCCACCCCACCGGTCCAGACCCCACCCCACCCAGGGGGAGGAGGGGCAGGGAAGGGGGCTCTATTGTACATCCCTCTGAGGGGGGGGCCTGTGGGAGGGGTATTGGGGGAAAAACATCCCGGGGGGGAGGGGCATCTAGCAACTGTGAGGAGGGGGGAAGCGTTGGGGGGGCGCCCCGGGGCAAGGGAGCGTAGGGAGTGGGAAGTGTCCCAGAGGGAGGGGCCTCCGGTGGAGCGTGGGGGTGTGTGCCGGGGGGAGGGGTGTCCTGGAGGGGAGGGAGGGGGGGGGGTGAGAAGCGTCCTGTGGGGAGGGACGTCCTTGGGAGAGCATCGCGGGGTCGGGGAGCGGGACGTCCCACGGAGAGGTGGGTCCCGGGGTGAGGGGCGCCCTGGAGGGGAGAGGCACGTCCCGGGTGGGAGGGGCGTCAAAGGGGAGGGCCCTGGAGGGAAGGGACGCCCCAGGGGGAGGTGCGCCCTGAGGAGAGGGACGTCCGGGGGGGGGGTTGGGGAGCGTCCCGGGGGAAGGGGAGACTGGGTTGGGGGTGGGTGGGCAAAGAGTCCCGGGGGGAGGGGCGGGGGGCTGTCCCGGGGTGGGGGACGGTCTGAGGGACGAGGGCGCGTGCGAAGGGGCAACAGTGACGGGAGCCCCGGCCCCGCGGACTCACAGTAAATGAAAGCGAGGGCCCTCAGGAGCACGATCCTGGTCAGCCAGAAAGTGCCCGCTCGGAGACGGGCCGAACAGCCCGTGGGGTCGCACCCCGGCCCAGGCCCCGGCGGAGACCCAGGCTCGGCGCCCGCATTCCCGGCCTTCCGCCTCCTCAGTGACTCCTCGGGCGCCGCCATCGCGGGGCCACCAGTGCGCATGCGCATGGAGCGCCACGCGCTCGGACACCCCGCCCAGAACAAGAGGCCGCTCCCGCCCGGGCTGGCCACGCCCATGGGCGGGGAGCGCGCGCGCGCGCCCTCCGCAGGCCGCGGGGTGTGCTGCAGCAGTGAGGGCAAGGGGTGGGTACCTGGAAGGACCCGCGTGTACTCCACCTGGAAAGGGGCTGACCCATGCGGTCATTCGCTCGTTCTTTTTTTTTTTTTTTAAATATTTTATTTATTTGACAGAGAGCACAGGCAGGGGGAGTGGGAGAGGGAGAAGCAGACTCCACTGAGCAGGGAGCCCGATGCGGGACTCGATCTGGGACTCGATCCGGAACCCCGGGATCATGACGCCAGCCAAAGGCAGCCGCCCAACTGACTGAGCCACCCAGGTGTCCCTCATTCGCTCTTTCATCAGCCAATGTTGCAGAAGCTCCTGGTGCACTTGCCCACCTGGGAAGCTGCCCTCCTGGCCCCTCTAGGGCTGTTGGAAAGCTCGTGTCTGGCCAGGACGGGGTGGGCCTGCCTGGTCAGCGTCCGTGTGGGCAGCAGAGGAACCCTCCGTGTGCCCTTGCGGTATATGGAGTTGCCCTGCAGCAGAGAGAAGGTTGGAGCGGAGGCTTCGCCCCAGGGCTCCAGGCGGCCACTACCTGCTCTGAGCGTGTGGCCAGGTGTCTACGGGTGTCCCCTTCCCATGCCCTCATCTCTGCTGTCCCGGGAGGATGTTGGGGTGACAGTTACACAGCTGGCGAGGGAAAGCACAGTCAGCGGCCGGGTCTTGAAATTCAGCCAGATCCTTCAGCTTGGGTTAGCAAAGCCCCCTTAGGCTGCACTCCTACCGGCTCTCAAGACTGCACCCCAGCCCCCTGCCCGGGGAAAGTGAGGTGCTGAGGATTCAGAGCAAAGAAGAACTTACCAACCAATGACCCAAGCAGAACCCTGGTGAGAACACCAGCAACTCTACATTCTGAGGATAGAGCAGCCCAGGCACAGCTCAGGACAGGTGGTGCTAAGTGGGTGGGCTCATAGGCACTTCTTAGAAGAGCGCAGGGTGTGCAGGACAGAGTAGGCTTCAGACCCTTAGTGGTTAGTGGGCAAACCGTGAGGTACCTGGAAGCACATCACTGAGGTAGGCGTTGGTTTTTCTTATTCTTCACAGCTCTTTACATATTAAAGATCCTCTTCTCGTGTGTATATTGCAAATATTTGTCCTGGGTGTTTTCTTTTGACATCTTGTTCTGAGTGTTCTTTTAAGATTTTATTTATTTATTTGACAGAGAGAGACACAGCAAGAGAGAACACAAGCAGGGGGAATGGGCGAGGGAGAAGCAGGCTTCCCGCTGAGCAGGGAGCCTGATAAGGGCCTGAGCCGAAGGCAGACGCTTAATGACTGAGCCACCCAGGCGCCCCCTGAGTGTTTTGATGTATAAATTATTGATACTTGTGTGGCCAAATGATTATTCTTGTTTAATTATATCTTTACCACCTGCAATGTGAGCTCTGTGAGGGTAGGGAGTGGCTCTGGACATAGGCTCCCCCAGATCTAGGCCAGACCAGCAACTTCTGGAACCCTTCTTCAGCCTCCAGCTGTCCCCCACCTGCATTGTTGGGGTAATAGCACACATGCATCTTATAGTGTGAGTTTTTAAAAAGTGCCCCCCCCCATTTTTTGTGGTGAAAATCTCTCCTTTCAGAGCCCAACTGTAAAGTGGGACATGTAAAAGATTGGCTGGGGGGGGGGGTGGCACAAACATCTTCTGCATCCTGGTAAGCCCCCAGCAGGAAAGCATGTGCCCGAGGCTCCCAACCTTGGGGATCAGGGGGACAGTTATCCTGTTCCATGCTTCCAGGTCCTTCCAGCAAAGCTACAATCTGTACCTCCTCTCCAGGATCCAAGTGCCACATTTGCGATGGGCTAGCACAGCTGTCTGGGGAGAGCAGGGAGAATCTGGCGCCCCTCAGCCCAAGCCCACTCGAGCTTCCATGCATCCCCCGGATGCAGGAGTTGCTCAGGGGACAGAAGGCAAGGGAGGACAGCTCTGCCATCAGGTGTGACCCAGGGTGCTGCTTTTCAGGTGGGGACAGTCCTCACAAAGGGCCCTTTGTCCTCGGCTTCCCCTGGCCCGAGTTGTATTGTTCTCCCTAGAGAAGGGCACAATGGGGCATTGTGTAGAGCAGAAAAGGGCCCTTGTCCAGCATCCAGCTTGCTGGGCTCCAGGCTCCCTCTCCGGGTTTACCCAGGGTGGGCGAGGCCATCAGAGAGGTCTGCTGGGAGCTCATGTTCTTCTATTTCCTCCGGGCCCTGCCTTCCTGGGAGCTGACTGCAGAGGACCAGTGAGTCTGAGGATCTAGAACCCACACGAGAGTGGACCTCACAGAGCAGGCCTTGGGCCAAAGAAAGGCTGGCCAGTGGCTCGGTGCCTGTCTGTTTCCACCTGAATTTAATCAAAAGTGCGCTGGTCTATTACTCGGCCATAAAAAGGAGTGAAATGTTGACACCTGCTACAATATAGACGACCCTCAAACACGTCATGCTGAGTGGGAGAACCAGACACACAGGCCACATGTTGTCTGATTCCATGTATATGACATGTCCAGGAAAAGCAAATCCACAGACACCAAAAGCAGATTGGTAGTTATCTAGGGCTGGGGGCAGGGAGGGACAAAAGTATTCTGGAGCCACATAGAGGTGATGGCTGCACAAAGTCGGGATGCACTAAATGGCACCCAGATGTACACTTTGAAATGCTTAAATGTTATGCCATGTGAATTTCACCTAACCCCCCCAACCTTAAAAATACCTTATGTTGTTCCAGAATGTCCTAGAAGGCACCATTTTTACCTGTTGGAATAGATTACATCATTTACACCAAACTTACCTCTTCATCTAGATTAGGGAGCATCTCACAGCTTGTGAATAATATTTAGATATGGGTACATCCTATGCTCCAAGAAGTCACTCCACTTAAAAACAAAACCTTTTTTGTAAACCCTGAGCAGCTGCAGGGCCAGGAGGCTGGTGCTGGGGAGGCGGCACCAAGCTGGCTTCCTCACCCTGTGGGCTCAGTGCCTGCAAGCCCCAGGTACATGGGGGTCTCTCCCTGGAGAGACATTTTCAAGCCAAAAACTGTTGGAGAAAAAGTCAGGCTGGTTACAGAGGGACCGGTGCCGAGCCCCGCCCAGACAGAGTGAGAGAGAAAGAGCCCAGGAAAGGACAAGAAGGGAGAAAGGGAGGCTTCCCAGAGACGATCGGTCAGCTCAAGCCTGGGGCTGGTGTCTCACACGGACCCACGGACAAGCCAGAACCCCTGGGCCCGTCCTGGGGGGCCCATCCACAGCTCCCCTGGTGCCTTCCCAGAGCAGAGGCACACACAGGCCTACAGGCTGGCGGTACTCCCAGCAGCTGCGGTACGGCTTCACGGAGGAATGAGCCCCATGTCGGCACCTCGTCCAGCTGTCCCCAGGCACCCTGGCTTGGCAGCCCCCGCTGCCTCAGGGCAATTGTCCCTGACGTGCATTTGCAGCTGTCTCTGGCACCCACAAGAACCCAGCTTGGGCCCGACCTAATCGCCCACCCTTCATTTACCCCAATTTTTCATGTCTTGACATCTGTTGATGGGGGGACAGAACCCAGGGGCACTAACATCTGTCGCTTTTTTCTGGGGGGGTGGTCAGTTTGGGCTGGTCCCACCCTGACTGTCCAGTGGCCAAGACCCCGGGTAAGGCTGGCAGGTGCAGGTGGGGGTGGGTGAGCAGGTGCTGGGCCATTTGCTGGTTTTCGGGAACTGTGACTCACGGACGGCTGTTCTGCTTGGCTCACCCGTCTCCTCTCCTGGCACCCTCGCCTCCCATGCCTGCACCCCAGAGGGAGATGTGGTTCTGTGTGGCCCGGCAAGCCGGTGAGCCATGATTGCAAGGCAGAGAGGAAAGCAAAAAAATCACATTGCTGTTACATTTCATGGCTGTAGAGCCTGATGGGGGAAGAGAATGGGCAGTGAAGTTTTTTCTCCTAGAGTCAGATTCTGTCCTGGAAGAAGTTTTGGAAACCGCCCAGGCCAGGGGTCACAAACAGGAGGCTTGCAGGCTGAATTCTGCTCACAGAGCTGCATCAGTGACCAGTCACCACAATAATGCTGCGTAACAAACAGCCTTAAAACCAAAAACCACGGTGTTGGCCACACTGCTATCCCCGGAGCTGGGCTCAGGCATGCATCTGCAGTCACCTGAGGTCTGGGGGCAGCAGGATGCAGGCTGGCCGTCAGGATGATGGGGACTCTCTCCAGCGGCCCGGAGGCCCCAGCCCTCCTTACAGCCTCTCCCACAGCAGTTCCACGCTCCCCTCCCAACCGGGCTCCAGAAGGCACCAGCATGCAAGACCCCTGATTTCACCCAAACTGCTTATTTCATAGGCTGGGGGAGCTCGTGCCCACCACCATCCAGCATTGTGTCTTACCTTCCTAAGACTCCTGTCCAGTGATCCAAGCAGACATCTCATTTCTGAAAAGAACAGGTAGCATTCCTGATGCTCTCCCTGAAGATGGAGATGGACCCCAGCAGTGCGGATGGGCCCCGGAAGTTGCTAGCTTGGACTGACAAGGAGTCGCAGAGAAGCAATAAACATCAGGTCTGGGCTACTGCACACCCAGCACCCTGCATACATCGGCTCACACAGGCCCCACCGTGAGCCCACAGAACAGACAGGCATTCCGGACCGCTTGACTGCCCAGAGGAACCCCATAACTCACCCAAAGTCAAGGGGCCGCAGGGGATAGACGGCATCAGGTCCCATGACCTCAACGTCCTCCTCTTCAGAACTTCAGCACCTTCTTGGGGGATCCCTACAACTCCCTCCAACCCCTTTCCACACCCTGAGGGTGGCAGTCAGGGGCAGGCGGCCAGCATGCACGCAGCCCAACCCACAAACCACTCCGAGGCACCTCTTCTCACACTTTATTAGAATGATTAGCTGCTGGAGCTCCTTGAGAGCTTGCAGCCAA